GATGCATTCAACAATGACCCCATTTGTAGGTTGTGCAAGGAGGAGGAATAAACTGCCACTTACATTGCTCAATGAAGATATAATATAAGGTACCGAAAAGACCCGGGTATGTTTTACTTTCTTAAAAAAACAATCGGGTCAATTGAAATGAACTAAGGAACGAGGTACAGTAAAATTCCAAACCGATTCCATCCTGGTATCCTCAGCATCATCATGGAAGTATAAATTTTTGAAAGATTGTCAAATTTTTAATTAACATTAAAATGTTTCAATTGTAAGAGAGTAGTTGCAATTTCAATATTATTGTTATTATTCCTTTTCATGTTTTCTTACCGATTCGCTCAGCCGCCTTGCTTTAATTTGTTATAAAGCCGTAATGAAATAATTGTGTTTAAGCAAGAAAGCGAGTCGAAGTGCGAGGAGTTAAAAAAAGAGGTTTATTGAAAGGATCTAGTCACACGGTTGAACAGGAAGAATCAACCTAATTGGAAATCTAATTAGAACTGGGCTTCGAAAAGGGGAAAAACGCACTTATCTCTTGAATATCGAAAATATAGCAATTTAGAGGTGTGATTTAACTAATTAGTGTCGCGCGAGTAGGGAGAAGAAAAACCGGAGTAATTGAACAATATAAATAGGTGTTATGAGAGGGACTTGTCTTTTTGTATCGCGTTCAATTTTTCTCTGCAAGCAGCCCTAATTGGTAACTATTGTCTACTAATTGGCAAACATATCTCACCATTCGTAGCAGGAAAAAAGTTTTTATCCGGCATAACGCCTACAAAGAATTAATATGGAGTAATCGTAAAGAACTCACTTGTTCGCGGGGAAGCCGTAAAACTTTAACTGCGGTGCACTTAAGTTTATTACAATAGGAGGATAGTTACTCTGCTAGAGGAAATGGACACTCGTCGGCTTTATATATAATACAATTTGGAAATAATGGGAAATAAATGTAATTTTGAGAGACGAACCGCCCCTTTTTGCTCTTAGTGCCGTGTAATCCCGGCAAGACAAATTCCTAGGTATAAAAGAATTTTCATTGCGTTACAAGTCGTAAACCCTCGTTAGAACCACTTATCTCAAATTATACAAACTAGAATAACAAAGTTCTCTGTCGTTTCCTTTAAAATGATGTTTTACCGCGATTGCCCCTGTGATAATGTATTCGTTCTTCTACGTACCATATTCTTACATGATTTCATTATTTTTATCACATTTCTGCACATTCAATGTACAAGGTGGTGATTTTAACAATTCATAATCATTCACCTTCATAAATGGACTGTGGTTCAATTTTCCTACTTTTCGAATTAACAAGAATTTCTTCGTGAACACTGAACAGTATGTAATAGGAAGTTTGCAATATTAAAGGAATAATAAATGAATTCCGTACAAACAACAATCAGCGTGAATTTAAATAAATCTCCACAACCTACTTATGAAAATGTATTAGATGCTTTCCTAAAGTTGGAATAAAATTATTGTATTATGACTAAAATCTTCTTCACAGTTACCACATTTAAGTTTGTACTTACTAGTAACAATACCTTAATATTTTTTAGCTTTGATTTTTCTCACTTTACAATTTTTTTAAGTTTGTTTTTAAATATGTGGTGTTTAGTGACCGTTAGTTAATGATTATTTGGAGATCGTGACATACGGAGTGACGTAGGTTTTAAAAAAACATTTTCTTTATCGTGCCAACGTTTCGATCTTTATTGAGATCATCTTCAGGGCCTAGGATTTACAAACATTGTTTAAATTATAATCAAAAATTTTTAGATTCAATCAAAGTATTTGTACTCACTCAAAGTGTGTGCTTTTTGTGTAGATGTGTCATTATTGTGTGTCGTGTTCAGTGTGCCAGTAAGATATTGATTTGTTTTTAAACTAAAAAATTACTTAATACATTTTTATTTCTCATAAGATTTTGTATCTTTATTTATTTAAGTAAATAGAAAATTTATTGTGTTTTTTTTTCGTAATTCGTTTATTACCTCCGCAAAATTGCAAAATTCTTATTAAATACTCTCGCAGTCCTTGACAATGATGGGATTGAGTATACCTTCAAAGAAATTTGAAACAATTTATTAAAAACTTAATTATATCAATGTGTACACATCTTTAAGATTGTTTTGCCTTGATGATGAACTTAAAATAGGACAAAAGCTTGGCAGATAACAATTGAATTTGTTTTTTCACCCAGATCTACTGAGATCCAGATTATTCATGAATAAAAAAGTGGCCGACACATCTAACACTTTAAACAAATTGACCTTATACGTGATCTTTCTTAGCAATGAAAGCAAAATTTAATTAATAAAAAAACACTTACACTTCTCAAAAAATCAATTAGAAAACACAGCAAGATTCAGAAAGGTTTTTCAAATTATTTTCGAATTTCGAGCTTTTCAGCATCATATTCGGATTCTACAACATTTATTCGGTCCCTAATCCAGTCACCTGGAGCTTTCCTTTAATTTCACTGACAATCGTAAAGCGTACTGCGTCGGTTACATTTGTAGACTCGTTCTCTTATTTTACCAAAAATTGATAACAAAATGGTTGGTAAAACTTATATTTCTGGTCTATATCATAAATAGCGAATGTAGTTAGTGTTTAAATACATTTTTATGGGTCTAATCATTTATTATATAGACAAAAAAATAATGGAAACGCAAAGTAGCACCTATGGGGGTAGAGCAGCGGCGAATCTAGCCGAAGATCGTGGGTTCGAATCCCGCTCGTGCCATTGACTTTTTTATCTCAACTAAAAACCTTAATTAATTGTAAGTTATTATCAGTGTTAACTTGATCGAAAAATAGGAGAATGCAAGGTGAAGTTAAAAGATCTTTGGTTACAGTCAAGAAATGGTCACTAATTTTCAAATCATCATTTTTGACACCATGGTAACTTGTAGACAGTCAGAAGTGATTTCTCCGATTTACGCTCTTTTACGAATAGGAGATGATGCAGTTGAAGAAGTATAATCAGTGGGGACGAACACAAATTGAAATCGTAATTTGACGTCGGTTTGCTATTGACGTATTCTCTAATTTGTTTTCTTCTCTTATTCAAGGGGATGTTGACGTATATTAATAGCAGAGTTAATCGTCTTGCTGGTAGTGCCGTTTGTGGATATAATCAGGCGAATGCATTCAGATTCCGCAAAAGCTGTATTGTAATTGAAATTTGTGAAGGAGGCTGGCTCGGAGCTAAGACTCGGTTGGCTGAGGGGAGATATAACATATTGCTTCTGAGACTCCTATTGTTAATCTAACTCAATACTGAGCAGTAAAGGCGTCACTTGAAACCTGCCGCGAGGAGATGATTTTAATTACTGCAACATCCCTTCCTCCAGCATCAAAATGCGAGCTTGAGTGACACCAGTGGGTGATTTATAGTGAGTGAGTTACGCCGACTAACTGACAACGACTATTGGGCCCCCAACGCTTGCACAACACAGCCTAAACTCGTTACCCCGTTGATTAATCCCACTTACCTATCGATCCTTTAAGAGTTTAACCCCGTTGTCTCTATCAGTCCCTTGTTATCGTTTGCAACCGGAATTCTCCCAAGGAAATTTTCGCCCGCTCCTCTCAAATCCGTTTATTCGTTAATCAGTTTATGTTAATGTGCTCTAAATCCACGTTTAGGCGGGTGTCCCAAACCTTGGGGAAATAATCTTATATCGTATTATGTTTCATTTAGGAAATACGATTGGTATTGTTAATACAAAAATAATAGGAAAGGATACCAAGAAAACATTTTAAAATCATTCATAAATTTAAAAAATATGTATATGACTATTTTAAATTAAAACCATCGCCTTCCATTGCGCTTAAGTATTTCTGTCTTCAGTTTGTAAAAATGTTAGTGTAAATTTTTCAAATTTTATTATAATCTACAATTTTTGGTTATAGTGGGTCATTTGAGCATAAATAACGACGATACATAAAAGATATGTACAACTAATTACATATTTACATTGAGGTGAACAAATATTTATTATTATTCTCCCACCTCACTTCATGTCAATTAAAAAAAAAATGTACTTGACGTCCACCCCTACCGCTCACAAAATAGGTTTCTAGGTCGGTTCAGACGTCGGCGAGGTAAGTTACTGACAATGGGGGTTTTGTGCAGTGTTACTTTTCGTATTTGCTTTTGGCTACTTCAACTACATATTGGACTATAAGGTTGTTGTGATTAGTAATATTTCTTATATAGAAAGGATATTATATTCAACGAGCATTGAAGATGGTTTAGAAGTTTTGGTATTGTAAGAAATGGATAAGTTGGAGTTAAACTTTACAACTTTTTGGGACTTTTTTTAGAACGGGTTCCATATAGTCGATTGTTCATGTATAACCCAAAGAAGTGGACTGCATTAGCTGGTCGGAGAGGGATCTACTACTAGTAGATGGGACTATTGGTTATTTGGTTATCCAACGTAGGGTTAAATTACATTTATACATTTTCGTGCGTTTATTGTCATGTTCATTGCTTGAACTACTCAATGGATGTGACATGGATTTGCCAATTTCTGGTTGAAATGAAAAATGAATGAGAACAACGGTATCATCTGCATAGATGGTAAGTAGACAAGTATATGGTAGTTTCAGAAAGGGAAGGAATGTCCGCGGTGTATACTATGTACACAATGGAACTGTCTTGGGGTAGCCATGAATCTTTGCGATATCCGGCTGATAGAGAGGAGTAGCTGATGTTTTTTTTGCAAGTGGATCCACTTCTCCATGTGTTACTACTCATGAATGTGTTTGAGCCCGGTAGAGATCTGTTTTGCATGCCTAAATTTAATAATTTGGACTTACAACTGAGAATCACATACGAGCTCATAATATCGTTCAGTTAATGTTAAAAATGTTGTTTTGTGTCTTTTTATCAGCCTAGCCCAGCTTCATCGTCATCAAACAAAGTGAAAAATAACGAGGCGGGAATAAGTTTCTTTGTATGCAATTTTTTTATATCAATATTTGAAACAGCTCCGTAAAACGGTACTTTTTAATTTTCAAAAAATATAATTATAATCCAACACAACTAGAAAATATAGTTAATAATACGCTAATTATTAAGTACATAAATTTCGTGATATGTATTTATACTTATTTTTTATAAATAATAATAGTGAGTGGTTCCAAGATGATATTTATTTTTAACCACAGCTCGATGTATTGTCGTTCAACGAACAGCATTCACCCCAGGTATAGACCCATCCTGAAACGAAAAAGTTATCAGTTTTAAACAAAAAATCATATTGGTATTAAAAATATTGAAACTAAAAAATTTTTCCCAGTTCAAAATATGAATGAGATGAGGACATTAAGAAAAACAAAGAAAGCTGGCGACCGAGATTTTGTGTTATTGGTTATATTTAGGAATATCATAAACAATGATATATTTTTTATACTGTATGCTTGGACCTAACAATAACACTACAGCCCGCACTCCACTCGAAGGGCATGTCTACGAGAAGCCAGCCAACACTGTCACCACATTTGTTGAAAGATTAAGGGGTGAGGTGTCGGAGCAATCTTTTTTAGGCAATGGGGAAGCTTCTTGGCATGGTGGTTGACCAAGCTTGAGCAATATGGTCAGAACTGACAGAAAAGTTGGAGTGAAACTCCAGAAAGCTAGAAATGTAAACGTTTATATAGAAAGTGAAGTTAGCAATTTAATAAGAAGCTTGTTTCCCAGGGCTTTTAGCTACAATTGATGAATTAGTTGGAAATTACATGGCTTGGTGGTAGTCCATCTGTTCAAAATGTCAAAATATGTAGATCGAAGTAATGTTTTGTGCAGTGTTAGTTTGTGCTTTACAGATTTGACGAGCTAGTATAGTTTCTCTTGCTTGTGTGAGGCTACTACATGTCAGAATTGTGTCGTCAGTCCTAAGTATTTAACTTTCGTAAATGTCAGTAGTTCGTTACTGTTGATCTATAAACGAATAGACATATAAGATTCTTTTTATCCTAGTAGCTATATTTTCCATATTTTGCATAATTTTTTGAAGAGCTTAAGTGAATCGGCGGTACAGGTAAAGATTCTGTTGAGTTGTAGCGGCATGTAAATAGTATAAATAGTTTATATATAGGGCAAAGAATGCTCCCTTATTGGACGTTGGATGGGATTGGTTTCGTCTCTGAAACGTCTCTATAAGATAGGAATTTATGTAGTTTTTGAGTTAGTTAAAGTTTAGTTTTAGGATTAGGCAATAATGAGTGGGAAGGAACGGTTTCTAGTTTAGTTAAAATCTTGTACCATTTTTCACAACCAGAGCAGTCCTTTCTGTAAATCAGAAGACATCGTCAACAACCCTATAGCATTGAATCATCGAAAGACGAGGACAAGAAATTATGTAAAACTATGCTGGGCATAGATAACTTAGGAGATACAATTGCGATAACGTCTGTACAGGGTGCAGGGGGTTGGGATTACTTTGTTACGATCATCTCGGACGAGAATAGCTTTAAAAGACGTCTTTTGAATATGTTCAATTGACTAAGAGTTTTATGGCGTTCAGGTATGAAAGTGATTATAAAAAATTTTCTTAGGGGAGGAAAGTATGAGGTACGTAGGGTTGGATTATAAACGATAGTTTTAAGGAATACTAATTTTGATGTGAGACAAATCAGACTGCTGTGTAGGTTTAGTCCTAACTTGCCGTGATGGCTGACGTTTATGTTGACAGATGAGAGGAGTGCTGTTTTTCGGCGTACGTTCAACTGTAATTTGTGCTCATTAAGCAGTTTCATTTTCCATATTTGGCACTATTTTTTGATAAGCTCAAGATGCTTCTGGATATTACACAAGTGTCTTGGGTAGGATTCGAATTAGGAAATTATGAGACGATTGTGGTATTGTCGATATAGGATGTAAGAGTATTGGGATGCATATGTAGGCAAACAGTGTAAACAGTAATTATAACAAGGCCAAGAATATTCCCCTGTGGGAAGCCGGATCGACAATGTCTCTATTCCATAGGATTTTAAGATCTTTACTAAAGTAGTGGGCTTTAGTTTGACGTAACTCCTTTATGCCCGACGTTGGGTCACATGTAAGAACTATGTCAATTTGAAGCATTGATGACCCGTCGAATGTGAACGAAGTGTTTTTTTTTGCACATTACTGGGAGAAAGATGATTGGTCTGTACAAGAATAATGTTAAAATTTAAAAAAATGTGCAAAATTGTTTAAGTTAAATCAAATAGATATTTTGGAAGAAAAAAGTTGTTTTAGAAAGTAATAATTCTACAAGTATAGCAACAAGCCAGACACAATCGGTTTGTAGTGGCAGTAAATAGCACCATGGAAAAAATTAATTACTTCAAGTTTAAAAAAATGAAAATTAAACTATATATTTTAATTATATATATACACTTCAATCCAAAATATAGCAGATAATAAGATTCTGAAGAATCGTTGTGACCTATTCTCACCTCGAGGTGTTGCCGTTTTGCGTTTAGTTCGTCACAGCAGGTGCAGTCATCCGTTGAGCTTCTCGGCTGTTTCTGACGTCCAAGACACTCCTGAACAAATTACCTCTAATTAGACCTTTTGCTTACAATAAATTTTAAAAGGTTGCAAGGCTGTTTCTAATTACCTCTGAGTGCTCGGCGTCCTCCCTGGGTCTCTTCGGTTTCACGCCCTAGAAAAAAAGTGATTCGATTGTTGGTTTTGAGTAGTGAAACGATTTAAGACATAGTAACAAAAAGATCTTGTTGGCGATCAATAAATTCTTTTAAATCAATAAGAAAGCCCACCCACAAGACTAAAAATGATACGAATTCAGCCAAAATTAATAATCTGCCATTTTTCAATACGATGGACTTATCCATTATGTAAATTGAAAGGGGGGTCGTTTAAACAGAGGGGGGATTGGAGGATCCGTTAAATAGCTAGATTGATGCCACGTATAAATAAAAGTCGAGCCTCGAGTTCGATTAGTGGAGGAACACTTAAAGAGCGTTTGTCTCGCCCCTTGAGAGAGCTAAGTCGAGCGATAAAATGCCAATCGCTCTTGTCACTATCCTCCAAATTAAACAGGTTCAGTTGAAACCAACGCCAAAAATTAAAGTACATTTTTAAGCGAAAAATGTTATCAGAACTACAGGAGATTTTTCGTATTCCCAAACTGAAAATGATATTACAGAGGTTTAAAATATTAAATTTTATTAAATTCATTATATTTTGTGATCCGATTGACCAAATAACTTCTTTCAATTAATTAATCTTTATGTAAGGTATTGGTTGAAATGAAAAAGAAGTGTCACGAGGAGGATTCGAACCCACGACCTTCGGCTAAATACGCCACTGCTCTAACCACTTGAGCTATCGTGACTTCGATCCACTCGGGTTCACTCAAATATCGCTCGTATCCAGCTCGTGAAACTGCTTTTTCATTTCAACCAACACCTTGCATAAAGATTAATTAATTGAAAGAAGTTATTTGGTCATCAATCGGACCACGAAATATAATGGAGTTAATAAGTAAAACGAAGTGTATCTTCACTAAAGCTTTCCGTGGCCATATCATTTGTCGCCCAGAATCGAATCCTTATTACACGAAATTTGAAAAATGGCAAAAAAGAGGGAAAATTCGAAAGGTACGTTGAGATGGGAAGTTGGTGTCCGAGTGGATCGAAGTCACGATAGCTCAAGTGGTTAAAGCAGCGGGTGCGGCGTATTAAGCCGAAGGTCATGGGTTCGAATCCCGCTCGTGACACTACTTTTTTCATTTCAACCAATACCTTGTATAAAGATTAATTAATTAAATTTTATATTGTGATTCATATCGTTAGTGTAAGTACCACACAAAAATAATTCAGGGAAAACAGTAGAGGTTTTTAATAAAAGGGCAAATGCGAAATTATTGTGATATTCCCCTCATATTTTAAAAGAACACTTGTTATGCAATTATTTAAAAGTGAATCAATATTAGCCATCAATAGGTATCGACCCATTTTTTTATCCATAATTTTGCAAAAATCATGGAAAAATATATCAAAAATAGATTAATTAAATTCCTTTACAAAAATTATACAATTCTAATAATCAGTTTGGTTTTCTTCCTAACGTCATGAAACAAAAGGGTTAAGAAAACATTTGACTCTATTGACCATACAATCCTAATTCAAAAGCTATCTAAAATTGGTATGAATAGAACTCCTTTTAATTTATTTAAATAAAATGTTTCTGGGGGGGCTCAGAAAACAGCAAATTGGATCTTGCTGTAGTACACTATTATGAATTAAATGTGGGATACCACAAGGTACACTTTTAGGTCCTATCTTTTTTCTTTATCTACATTAACCATTTATTAACATTGGACATGTCTGGTAAAAATTTTAGTTATTCATGATGACGCTACTAATATTTATTTAGCAAAAATTAATTGAAATTACTATCTCTATTTGTACTATATCTAAAATTTGTATATAAAAGCTTAGCTTGACTAAAATTCTCTGCTTTTATTTAAAAAAAAAGAAACTAACGTTACTTCATTTTCATTAAAAAAACATCACATTTAAACGAGTAAAATATATTTTACAGTAGTACAGGGACATTTTAAATTGTTCCTGCTATTTCCTTTTGTAACTAAAGTAAAATACTTAGGCGTACTACCAACATTTAAACTGAAATTTTCAGATGAACAGATTAGTAAAGAGAATAAGAAAACTTTTTTTACAAATATTCGAATTTTCAAAAGCATTTTACTTTTTTCTACTTTAAAATCAGGTAATTTCGCGTTTCCATATTATATATCATCGGATTAGGGTGAAGGGAAGAACTCGTAAGAATATATTATGCGCTCTAAAACTCATTTCAAAATTGTCTAATAAAAATAATTTTAAACTATCGACGAATATAAAACACGGAAATATTATACAAGGAATCTAAAGTTTTAAATTTAAAACAGTTATTTTTTAAAATGTTCATGTCTTCATAAGTTTAAATATAAATTATTTTATAAGTCTTTAAACTTATACCACACAAGATTAGACTATTAGAGTGATTTACTAAAAATAAATACAACTAAAGACTATACTTTATCTTATAACATGGTATTTAAATATATTTACAAAATAGAATTAATATCAGTAATTTCGGAACTTTAACCAGTTAAAAAAAATTTATACATTCATACATTATTGAATCAAGAGGCTTTTTCTTTTCGTTTCACAAAGGCTTTTTTTTCTAAATGAATACTATTTTTCACTTTTGTTTTTTATAATAAAAAGACATTGCTAACTGTACAACTCATAATTAGCCGGCACAAGTATTTATACTTATACAAAGCAGGCTTTAATGACAGACATAAAGTAATTTTAATGTAATAATTATGTGTTAATTTTTTTATGACTCGACTTTGAATCCAAAAAACTGTATTATATTTATTTAACTGTATATTACAGTATGGCGAAATAAAGATTTATTATTTTTATTGTTTGAGTACCTTGAGTTCTTCATCAGCGGGATCATGAAAATGATCTGTAGTTAGGTTTGTCTATGCAGCATGTTTTAGTTATCACATTTTTTAAAACGTAGCTATTTTATAGTTTTTCACCATTTATTTAACAAAACATTATTTGTTGGGACATAGGGTTAAGTGGTTCAGGTGTCGCGGGACAACAGATCAATGCCTGAGGGACCCGCTTTGTAAAATAAATGTAATTTTGACATTACCGTATTCCCCGGTACGACCCGTTCAAGGTTATCAAGTTACCATTGTGATAAAGCTCTAGATATCGGGGTGCTTTGTTTTGTTATTAATTCGTGACTCTTTGGGCTTTCTTTGAACCCTAATGACATTTGGGCGACATTATTCTTTCGGAATTACTTGTCCTCTCTTTCTCGGTGATATTATTATTATTATTATTATTATTATTATTATTATTATTAATATTAATAATAATAATAATTATAAATGTTGCTCAAATCTTTCCCACTTCTATTCGGTTATATTTTAGTTATTCCGCCAAAAATCACGTAAAATAAATTATAATTATTTTGGCAATATATTGTATATTTTTCATCATGAATCATGTATTAAAAAAAATAAAAACTGAAAAGTAACCTTATTCCATAAACTAACTCCTTTGATTGTTTCCTTCTGTACCACTGTTCTTCACAGTATTGTTAATTTTTTGTATTTCTAAAAATAAACTTCGTTATTGGAGAACGCCCAATTAATACTTTTCCATACTATCTTTTCTTTCCAGATTTTCAAAGATTTTCGAAGTCAAATCTTCATAATACGAGAAAATACCTTGTCTGTCACTTTTCATCTGGCCACATTACAATCTCTTTCGTTGTGCAAAGACGAAATTCAAATTTAATACGAATCAACCTTCTTATTTGAATCTTAGTTATAATAATTTAAAATATAAACCCATGTGATTATTGTATATTTTTAAGATTAATTCTTTACGTCGTTGATGTGCCCCAAAAACATTTCTCAATTTGCATAATTGCATAAACATCTTACATTCTGGATAAACATTGACGATATACATACTTTAAAACCGGGTATGGGGCTCATGGGTAATTTTACCTTACTTTTTACCCAGCCTTCTTTTTGGATAAAGTGTATTTTCAAAAACACTCCTTCCTGAATGTTGCATTTTTTCACCTGAAACAGAACAACAATAACCAACTTTTTGAAACTTTTCTTTGATAATTACCCATCGTGTGTTATACAGGACGTAAGCTTACGAGCGTATGGGATACACAGGTAAAAAATGATTTTTGTTAACTTTATTTTATTTGGCTTGAACTACTTAATCCCACGGTAATAATTTATTTGTGGTTCTCTCTTATTAGAGAGATCTTTTAATATTATCTCCTTTTTCTAGAAAATGTTAAAAGATTGCTAAATTGACTGAGAAGGGTATCTATAAAAAGGAGATATTATTAACTGACTGAAAAAATTCGCTGATATGGAGCTCAAAACGGACTTCCCAGCGGGAATGTGAAAGGATAAAAGATCCAAATTGGATGAGGAGGAACTCAGAGGAGCTTGTAAAAGGTGAAGTAGAAAGGTTGAAAAACTGCCAAATTTTCTAACAAGCTCAAAAGAGTCTTTCCAACGTGAGTAAAAATGGATAAAACATTCCAAATTGGATGAGGAGGAACTCAGAGGAGCTTCTAAAAGTGAGAAAGAAGTTATACAAAACTGCCAAATTTTCTGACTAGCTGGGAGAAGCTGAAAGAATTAGTGCAGAAACTGCCAAATTGGCTAAAAAGAACTGATAGAAGCACCGAAAGGCCTTTCCAATTTGAAGCAAAAATGCTGCCAAAATAGCTGGGAAAAAGCTTGATAAATTGACAAACCTTTCTCTAGGTGAAGAAGACATATTACAATAACGGCCATATTTTCTGAAGAGTTCGAGGAGCTAGAAAAGATTTTCCCGTCGTGAAATTGGCAGGATATAAAACCAATTGTTTGGGAGCAAAAGCGATGTATAGTTTAAAAAACACAGATCTAGAGTCATTCGTTTAATCACATTCCTCCTAGTGGCAGAGTATTTTACATATATTTACAGAAAGTTAATAAATTAGACTAAATAAACACTGGAAAATTTTTTTTTGTGAGTAAAAAGTTTTTCGTAAAGTTTACCAAGGGAAAACTTTTTTTATTTATGGCGCGAAGACCCGTTTCAGTTAAAAGAAAACTATTTAGAATCTTTTTTTTCCTTTTAACTATATATCTGTAAGTATCCTTATAGAAACAAAAATGCTCGTTTGTCCTTTCAAAAACTTGACATTTTATTATTGTTTTAAATCAATTATCAAGATCCAGAGACAAAAACATTAAATAAAGTTTCAATTAATTATTCTTTATAAAGGGTATTGGTTGAAATTAAAAAGTTAGTGCCACGAGCGGGACACCTACCTTTCGAATTTTCCCTCCTTTTTTGACATTTTTCAAATGTCGTGTAATCAGGTTTCGATTCTTCGCGAAAAATGAAATGGCCACGGAGAGCTTTAGGGAAGGGTAGGTTGAGGTGGGAAGTTGGTGTCCGAGTGGATAGCTCAAGTGGTAGAGCAACGGCGTATTTAGCCGAAGGTCGTGGGTTCGAATCCCGCTCGTGACATTGACTTTTTCATTTCAACCAAAACCTTACATAAAGAATAATTAATTGAAAGAAATGATTTGGTAAAACGAAGTATATCTTCACTAAAACTCTCCGTAGCCATTTCATTTGTCGCCGAATTCTGATTACACGACATTTGAAAAATGGCAAAAAAGGAGGGAAAATTTGAAAGGTAGGTTGAGGAGGGAAGTTGGTGTCCGATTGGATCAAAGTCACGATAGCTCAAGTGGTACAGCAGCAGTGAATGTACCCGAAGGTCATGCGTTCGAATCGCGCTCGTGACGATAACTTTTTTATCTCAACCAATAACTTACATAAAGACTAATTAATTGAAAGAAGTGATCAATCGGATCACAAAATATAACGAATTAAATAAAGTACTGTACAATCAGTTAATTTACGCTTCACCTCGATATAAAATGCAGTGTATTCATTATTATATGGTAATAAAAATGCCGTTGTTAACGGAGAATAGTATTTTTTTAATCAACGGAGCTTCTTTATTACAAAATATAAAACAATGTTTGCATTTGCAACGTGAGTCGATTTGTCTTCTGTTTCACCTTAGAACGTCTACCTCTTAGCTATCTGTCTTCAACATCGAGAAGCATTAGCTCGCCGGCGAGGCATATTTCTTTGATGAGAATGTCTTAATAGGGTCGTAAAACGTAAACTTCCGTTTAAATCAGCAGGACCGGAAATAGTCAGGAAGTCCCTCGGAACGGAATTTTCAATTACTGAAGCGATAAATTTATTAAATTCAAAGTGTTAATCTATTCGGCGCGTGAGTGGGGTCGAAGGCAGTAAATTTGGAGATAGGTCGCCGGAGACATTATTGTATTTTAATTCGGGTGGGTTTTGTGGTCCGGACGGGCACACTAAATATCCTACCGAATTCCACTGTCTGGTGAACGTGTGCGTGCGTGTGTATGTGTATGTGAGTGTGGTGAGGGCGGGTAGATTAAAACGGAGTCTAGAGAGGGAATATAGGAAACAGTGGATCGGTGCAGACTAATGTTGCGGAAGTAAGCCGGGCTCCCTCTCTTTATTGCAAGTCCTCCTTGACATAGGGCAGGATTACAGGAGCAGGCACACCTTACTTATACACTCTCTGGATAATTACAGACTTAGCCCTCTTGCCCACATTCTCATTTAACTCGACTTTGTATGATCAGACCCAATTGTTATTACAAAGACGCCCTCCGATCGCGAGTCCTGAACGGAGACAGTTTGGCACAGTCATACCAACCCTTTGTTCACTCTGGCTCGATTCGAGTTCTTGGCTAGAATCTGTACTTTGTCCATATTTAAGTTCCATTATGGGTTTAGTTCATTATTAGTGCAGACCAAATTCCCGTGCAATTGCGTCTTTATCTCTCACTCCGATTGCAATGAAACCAAGTCAGAAATTCGAATCATGGAAACGTCTTCTTTTTGACACTGTTCTTATTACGCACGAAATTGCATGTTTTAATGGTTCACTGCCCAAAATTACATTTTTCCTATTTATTATTTTTTATGCATAAAAATAATGTGAAAATACATCATTTTTATGTGTTTACTTACAGTATTTACTAAACGAAGTAAGAGTAAATTCTCTTTTATAATGCGCTTAGTCGAAGTCTTCAGCTTCCAATTCCTGAAATCTCCAATGCAAGTATTTTTTTATGTTGTATCCGCTCCGTTCAATCACTTGCGTGTTTCACATTTTTCATTTCTCCTTCTTTCTTCGGCTTGGGAGCAAAGCAAAACCTAGCAAAAGTTAAATTCCGCGTGCAAGGCGGGTCGTCGATGACCGAATCATTTTTTCAATTTTATTTCGTACGACACAACCTTTTGAAAGAAAATAAAACTAATTTTAGTAAGGAAAATGAGAACAAAATATATTTTAAATCTATAATACATTTTGTAGCTTAGATTTTTTCAAATCTGGTGTTATATTTTTTAATTTAATTATAAAATTTAATTGTATATTTGTACATATTGGGTTTAAAATGGAAATAATCGATTGGCTACAAAATCAAAAATCAATAATAAACAATGATTAAGACAATAATTGATTTTATAGGTAAATAAAATTTTTACTTTATTAAATGGGAATTTTTATCTTTAATAAATTATTTTACACGATTTTGACTATAATAATCAAAACTATATCCATTTTAGAAAAATCCGAATTTTTTCGGTTCTACGTTCTGTAAAGCCATCTTGGAACGGCATTCATAGGCCTTGGGAATACGCATTTCTCAAGATTTTTCTGGGTGGGTCTCTCAATAACAATCGTGGTTCCTCTTAATAAGAAAATGTTATTAGGAGCCAGTTGGGAAGGTCTATAATTCCCTTTCCTAATGACGTGATATATCTAGGCCACATCTTTGACCAAAATTTGTTTGGAATCAGCAGATATTAACATCAACAAAGAGCAAAAATCGCTATTGGCAGATGTCTTTCCAGGAAAACCGAGATTTCTTTATGGACATTACAGCTGACGTTGTTCCATGTTCCATAGGCTAGAATGTTTGGGCATTACTGGAGAAATAATTACCACCATCACTGTTGCTCTGGAAGCTCTGAATCTGCCACCAGAATAAATCTTCATCCAGCAAGAATTGTACAGGCTCCCGGAATAAGGAGCAAGCAAACCGTCGGGAGGAACTTCAAGCAGACAATTTACTAGGAATGCCTGTTGACGCCGTCATCCTCAAGTCAGATTTCGTATAAAACTTCAAATGAATGTTTTCCAGTCCAGAGCCTACCAGGGCATAAGGGTCGGAGGAATAACAAATTGGCCAAGGAGAGTTCGATCAGGACATCTAGCCCTCGACCCTTTGGCGGTTTACCGTCAAAAATGTAGATCCAACAAATTATGGACTGAAGATTGCATACTACTGAGAAATATAAGTTGATAACAGTTAAAGCAAGCCTGTACTAGTAAGCCTGTAAGCATAGGGCCAGGAGAGCCCAGTAAAACGCTTTGGGATCTGGTAAAAACCTTAAACTGACTGAAGATCTCTAGGAAGTAATGTAATGCCTTCTTTCAACTTTAGCTTAACTTTAAACTTTTTTGACTTTATAAAAAACAGGGCAAAACCATTGGATTGTGGGTGCAGAAAACGTTTGATATTACAGAAATAACACGTGCCATCCGATACTACAATAAAAATCTACAACACCGTTTCTTAAATCGTTTATTGTTCGTTTTATTGAGAAGGCTTTTTCAAAGATACTCTGATCTCCTTTTTAAATTCTTTCTGGAAAAGAGATTAGAGAAAACCTATCAATTTTGGTTAAGAGGAGCCGTCCTAACGAAACGACAAAAAAGCATGTGAAGTTTAATAAAACACAAACCGAAATGAAAAAAGAAAAAAAAGTAAAAATCCTATTTTAAATAAATTAGTGTATTTGCCTTAACTATTATTTCTTCTATTTTTTTCCTATTATATTTCATCAATCTTATATTCCTAATTTTTCATTTTGATTGGAAAGCCATTTCATATCTTTTCTGAGCTTCGCCTTTTGTTTATTTTTCAAAATT